CTTCACAAGTTTACGCCAATCTTTCTGTCAGCATTCAGTCTCTTAATGTGTCAGTCAATGACAAGATCATTCACTGATTCTGAGTGGTTTAGGGTTTTAAATAATGTGTTTCCCATCTCTCCTCTCTCTGCTCTGTAGGGTACATTACAGAAGTTTGTGGACGACCTGTTTGAGACCATCTTCAGCACAGCCCATCGAGGCAGCGCCCTGCCACTGGCCATCAAATACATGTTTGACTTCCTGGACGAGCAGGCGGACAAACACAACATCCATGACCCACATGTTCGACACACATGGAAGAGCAACTGGTGAGTGAATGATTGAAGCAAATGTCTGCGCACACAGAAAAGAACAAATCTGTCTTGGTGCCTGATACCATACAACACCTTGTCTTGTTGAGTCCATGAGGGGAGGACCTACACAACAGCGTAGTGTACAACAGTGTGGTGCCTTTGGTTCCATTCATGGTCTTCTCTGCACTGTTAATGTTAATGCGCTGCAGACACAATCAGTTCATTTTGGCAAATTCACATGGCATGGCCCTGGTTTTGCCCAGTGTCAGTGCCAAGCTGAACCACACGGCTCTTCCCGTCCTAATATCCATTAACCACAGGGGTGTGTAATCTTCATTAAAGCCAACCACAAGGGGCTAATCCAGTTGGCTGCCAAGACTCTCCATCTATTATCATTGATAACTGCGCCAAAAAACGCTTGTCACCGTGGAAATCTCCATGGTGACAAATGTACGCTCCCAGGTGCAGGAAGTGCACCTCTAAATTAATATCCGCTGATTAATTTAGACCACACTGACCTGTGCGAGCCCTCCTGAAGTGGCTGGTGGTGCTTAAATAACCAGCAGTTCACCAGAAAGCGGCGAGGAGTGTCATGAAAAGGTGAAGAAAGGGAAGTGAACTCAGTGGGAGTTAAACGCACACTAATATCTCATTAGCCTCTTGGCCTCTGCCAAGATCCCAGCATGCATCACTCAGCTCAAGGCCTGGGAGAACAGTGGAAATGGGAAGATATAATTTATGGGCATCAAGGGGCAGATAGAGGAGGAATGGGTGGGGGGGGGGGAGAAAGGATAGAAATATTATTTACTTTACGCTATGGTCCCGATTTTGGTCTTTCCCTGTGTCTGCGTTCTTTGGCCATTTGCAGTGAGTGTTGAGTGTTTTCTGAGAGCACGACAGGCTCTTACATTAGACTTTTAATGGAATGGGCTCTCACTCGAGGGCTGTGAATGGATAGCAATTTATCATAATACACCATCACGAAAAGCCACTTGGATTGCACACAACAGTTTGTGCTGATGCCACCACCGATAAGTTCGGGATGTGCATATTCCCGAGTCGTTTCTCCTCTCTCCCTGTGTGCTCACCGATAACCTTTAGTCGTCTCAGAACACTGTAATCTAGGCCTCAGCAAAAGCCGTAATTTTGTCTGATGGTAGAGAGTAATCACTGCCAGGGCCCCTCCCATGCTGGGCCCCAGTCCCATTACACCTAGCAGACCCATCGTCATCACACGCACCATTAACTTCAAGCCATCACACCAGTCAGAGCCCCTACTCCCTACTGCTACCCCCACCTCCCCTTCAGGCCTTCCCCATCATCAGAGCTCCACTGTACCCCCTGATGTAGCCCTGATGTTAGATTATACTCTGCTCTCTAGTGCTCCAGGGCCTTTCCTGTTAACCACGAACCAACATTTTATCAAGAAAAGCTGTGATTTTCACTTGAAATGATCCTGGGAACGGTTTTTATTACGATCTGATTACAGTGTAGAAATGTATGATGTTTCTATGAGAGGAAATAGTTGTTTTGGCATGAGTTGTGCTTGCTGTGAGAGCTGCAAGATACATTTCAGATTTCCATTGATTCTGAACATCCATACAAACTGAAACCCTTTACAATCCAAGGTCATCCTTCACAGCAGCCCCAGCACTAAACCTGTCCATGCCCCAACCTGTGAGGGTACCAGGGCTTTTAAAGCAGACCATGTCCGTATGTCGTTATTGTGCAAAGTTAAAATCAGCTAAACAGTCAGTGGTTTGTTCATTGTGTGGCAGAGCTGGGATGCATGTGTGTGAGTGTAAAGTAAGTGTGTGCATGGATGAGTCACTGGCTCCTAGAGCCGCTCCAGATGGTATCTTTTGGATTGGCGACAGTGTGTCAGCATCTCGTCTTATCCTCACTCTTCTGTATTTGGTGTGTGTGTGTGTGTGTGTGTGT